GGAAGAGAGGAATGCACCGCAGTATGGAAAGGATGGTTGTTATATCTGTGGGCAGAGGGGACACATAGCAAGAGATTGTCCACCGAATGATGGTAGGTTCGCAGGGTTAGCAGACTCAGAAGCTGGTGCTGCAGAAACGGGAAACTCAGGCTTTGAAGAACTGATAAAAGAGATTGATGAGGTAAAGGAGCAGGTTCAAAAGGGGTCAGCACTGATGGCAGACTTCTTTGAGGGACGTGAATGGGTGAAGGACTTGATAGAGGGTTCGAAGCAGGAGTTAGAGCCGGCGGCAGAGTATGCACTGATAGCAGATGTGTATGGAGCACTGAAGAGAACCCGTGAAAGGGGTGACGACGGGGAAGGGAGACCTGCAAAGCGGACTCCATTTCCTTTGAATTTACCGAGGCGGCAGACCAAGGATGCTGCAGAAGGGCAGCCGAATGAAAGTCAGGCAGATGGCAGAGGTTCAAGGCAGTTTCCGGTAGAAGGTGGTTCTGCAATAAGGAGTTACACGAGGCCAGCTAGGTATCAGACTGGTGGTCGGGCTGTGGTTCAGCAGAAGGCTGAAACGTACTCAATATTGAATCAACTGAAGTCAACACAGGCACGAGTGGACTTTCAGACCTTGATACATCTGGCACCTAAGGTTCGACAAGAGCTGCTGACATATTTGACAACACCAAGAGCTGGGATCAGTGAAACTGGGGCAGTTGGTAGTCAGAGTCATCATGCAGAGGCTCAGGTGCTGCTTTCGGATTACACAGCGGCTAGGGCACCTGTTGAGATACTGGGAATGCCAGTAGAGGGGTACATAGACACGGGATGTTCTCATACTTTGATCAGTCAGCTGGTGGCTAGGAGGTTGGACCTGATGGGTAAACTTTTGCCACCAAGGTGTAGTTTCAGGAATTCATCGGGGGAAAAGGAGATTCCAATGGGGCTGTTGCCTAGAATACTTATAAAAATTGGGGAGTTAGAGGTTGCACTGGACGCTCATATAGTCAAGGCTACGAACTATGACGTTCTGTTGGGAAATGACTTTCTGCACGTGATTGGGGCTAACATTGACTACCACTCTAGGACTTTGAACTTCTGGATTGATCATCAGCATCAAGGAACACTTCCACTGGCATTTGAGGCAAGTACTGGGATGGCGGCTTATCTGGAAATAGAACCGTTTGATAAGATCAACGAAAGAAAGGAACACAGGGAAGAGGCAAGGTTTGAAAGGAGGCCGGCTCCTAGGGCACAGTTTCCGTGGGAATTGCAAGATAAACAGAGGCAAGAAGAGTCTGATTTGGAAACAGAAGTGGATTCAGGAGGTGCAGGCAGCATTAACCACGACCAGTGGGAGGAAATAGAGTTCGATGAGGAGTCAGAATGGAGCGAAGAGTGGTCGGAAATAGAAGAAGCCGTGCTGCCTGAGGTAGAGGAATTTTGGAAGGCTTCAGAGGCATTTAGCTTTGAAGACTGGGAGGATGCAGGCAAACTAGATGGACTGGGATTAGAGGTACTTTTTGAGGAGCCTTTTGAAGAAAGTGCTGTGGACGAAGTAGTGGAAGTATTTCGAGATGAGCAACTGGGGCTTAGCAGTGATCTAGCTTTGTACGATGAGATTCAAAGCCTGGTAAGTGAATCGGAACTGGACGCAATGGTAGACTGGCGCAACACAATGGGTGGCACGTGTTCAGAAGTAGAGAGTATCCTCACGGGCTTGGGAGCTATTCAAAAGGGTAAGAGACTAACCGGAATTCAGAAGCAGCTAATCACCCAATTGCTGGCAACATACAG